GGGGGGGTAGGTGATCCTGGCAATGTACAATTCGCCAGTACAGGATGGATGCACACCTAGTAAAAATAATACAAGTTCATTAAAATCAAATTTAGAATCATCTCTCCTACCTTTTCCTACTCCTGTCGCGTTGGCGCACCGGGTTTTTCCAACTCCATATAACTCCATCATTTGCGTCATATCAGTTATCAGTCCCTTCTTGATCAGGTCACCTTCCACGCAATCCATCCATCTCTTTATATGTCTACCTCTACCGGTGTACCTCCACACTCATAACTAACGTTCTTCTTGTCACACGCGATTCGTCATATCATGGTAGCCTTATACGCATTAAATTCCATTTAAAATCCAACTAAAAATATTTTTTAAAAATAATAATGAACCTTATTTTTACTTACTTGTATCTCTGCCGAGAATTCGGTACCCAAAGCACAGTCTCTTGGATTTATCCACCTCAGACCGTATTCACAATAGTAAAATTTAGTACAATCGTAGTCATGAGGGATAAGGAAATGAGTTTGATCTTCAGGACATCTCTCGTCAGGAACACGTCTGTCTGTGAGTAGTGTCTCTTCTTCACTCATTGCTTGTACGTCGTTATCTGGCATAACATCATCCCATGGCATACCCTGGGCTAGAGCCAGGAGGGCGATGAATATCAACTTTCCTGCAAAAATGTTTTTAATTTTAGTGTCCTCGTTGTTGTGGTTGGTGTTTACTGTTGGACTGATTGGCCTACAGAATTTTTAAAGCGAACCTTTGCATAAACAATTGCAAAACTGTTTAGCGATTGTCTATTGTTTCGCAGCGCTGTTCAATTTCAAAACTAAAATTCGAATAGTGCGCACCTCCATACAAGCTCATAGGTATCTCATAGGTTTAGTCAAAGGTGTTACTCGTATTGGTTGGATTGTGTGGGTTCGATCAGCACATTGGGTGACACCCTTATAAAATGTTGGGTAATACATGCTCGAACCGGCTGATTCACAAACTAAGGATTCAATTGGAATTTTTAAAATAAAGTCCCATCGATAGTTCGATTTATTTTTTTGGCCTTCAGAAAACTAAAGATTATGGCGATCCTCATTATTTTCACACTAAGTCTGAATCTAATTATATCACTGCACAAAAACATATTTTCAAACGTTAAAAACGTACCAATCATTGCGTCTTTAGACGCTTTTAAAACAATTGCGTCCCAAAAGCACTACAAACAGACTTATTCCAATTCAGATTGATATATGCTATTTATTTCAAATATACTCCCAACTATAAAGCTACTGATACAATCAACTATAGATCTGTTGATAAAAATAGTGTTATAATCTATATTATCTCATTTAAGATCTCAAATTGAGGAAAAATAAGTTTTACATGGAAAATCACTTAAACAGTTAAAAAAAGATTGTCATCTTTCGTCATGACACATGAATGTGTATGAGTTAGTTCTAAAAATAAGAAAAACATTCTTTCTTACTAATTACTTAAACAACTTCTATTGTAACTAGTATGTACTTTCATAGAAGACCAGCTTTCGTCGCCACTCTTACAGCTGGAGGTTAAAACAAAAGTAGCCTATGTGTTCTTCCAGACTATCCTCTACAACTATATCAAATTTCATCAACAACCGTTTAGCAGTTTAGGCTAAAAATTGTAACAAACATCCAACCATCCATCTAAACTTTCGCATTATAACAAAAAAAACAAAAGCAGTCTATGTGTTCTTCCAGACTATCTTCTACGACTATATCAAATTTCATGTACATCCGCTTAGCAGTTTAGTCAAAAAACTGTAACAAACATCCAACTAAACTTTTGCATTTATAACAACTAGCTTTTGCCCGCGACTCCGACCGCGTGAATTTAAAAAAAACAAAAGTAGGTAGCCTATGTGTTCTTCTATGTTATATATCTATGCCAAATTTCATCCAGATTTACAGCCGTTTACGCTAAAAACTCTAACAAACTTCCATCCATCCATCTAGACTTTCGAATTCATAATATTAGGAAGAGTAAGAACTAAGATGAAAGATTAGTAATAATCAAAAGTCCCCTTCATTTATCTGAACATCTAACGGACCTATAGGCCTGGTAGCCTGTCGCTGGAGCGACCACAAGAGGACGTTATTGCCAACTATAGGAAAGACTAGAATAGAATAAAAGCCAACTAATTTCCAGTAATACGACCGCTAATTTCACACGGAATTACAGCCACGATTGTAATACCATGTGACTTTTTTGCTAAGTGGAAATGACCATTTAAAAGCGGAATTCTTAACAAACAATTTCGAGGTTATATCTGATTCATATTACATGAAATTATTGCAATTATGAATATGTTTTATTCAGATGAACCTCGCGATGCATTCGCGCTAATCCGCGATAGGATTAAAACGTTATTTATGTAAACTTATCGAATAGATAAGATATAACTTTAGCGGGAAATAATAATTGTTTTCGAGATTTTTTTTTCTACATTTCAGACGTTTCTTTTAAATCTTACTTCTTACTCATATTATAAATGCGAAAGTTTAAATGGATGGATGGATGGATGTTTGTTAGCGTTTGTAGCCTAAACGGCTAAACGGATCTCCATGATATTTGGCACAGGTTTAGAGCATAGTCTGGAAGAACACATAGGTTACATTTTATCTCGGGAATAGTTACGGTTCCCGTAGGATTCATTAATTTAGTTTTTTAATGTTTACTCGATCATTCTGCAACGGTTCAACATATCTTATTGAAATTTGGCACAGATATAAAACAAAGTCTGGAGTACACATGGGATAAGGTTCATCCCCGAGAAATGCCCGGTTCCCAAGGGATACGTAGCTTTTGTTATTTATATAGTTCGTATATTTTTAAACACCACGCGAACGAAGTCGCAGGCAACAGCTAGTAAATGAATAAAATAAAAACCTCTTTGTTGCCATCATATACATTTACATACAGTAAATATATTTAACAAATAAAAAAAGTATAATAACAATGGGCTGCAGGGTCAGCGTGTATCACATGGCCAATGCCATGCGGAGCTGATTTTCAGCCTGTCCCTGTGGGTCGCGTTGCGCCTCTTCAAAGGTGCCCAATACTTGGTATGCAACCATAATCTACACTATTATAATAAAGCGTAAACACACACTTCTTTGTTGCCTAAGATGTCAGCAATAACAGCATATTTTTGAATAATTATTTTTTAATAAAAAGCCTTATACTTACGTCACGCTTTAGGCTATATATTTTCACGTCATTAAACTTAGGAGGTTAATATTTTGGATAAAAACCCTAATGTGGGAAAGGGACCATAAGTTGCTGCCAACATCAAGGAAGCAAGACTGTCAATGTTTGTCATGTCATGTGATTTTGACATTTGCTATTGATCATTTGATACATGTAAATAAATAACAAAATTTTTCATAATTCTATGCGGATAAGTCGCACAGGAACAGTTAGTTTATTATACAGAGAAAAATGAACAAACATATAAACAATAAAAAAAACAAAACCGACTTCCAAACAAAATACACTAAAAACAAAATATTCTAAAAAAAAACAGTACACTAAAAAGTAACGAAATAATTCCTTGAAAATAGTAAACCTCCCTTATTGTAGTTCTTATGTCTATATTGTACAATTATTATTACTTTGATGTCGGTGTCAGCCAAGGTATGCAGTGATATTTATACGTAAGGGTTTCTACATTTTTACTATAACAATTAACAATTGTAAGTATAGTAACGTTTAAGTAATGAATCTACATTGACTGACTGACTGGTCAGTGACCGTCACTGACCGTCGGTGACCGTCGCGACGCGACAGCGAATAAACCCGGCATCCACTCACCCTGAAGAAGGACCCCCTACGGGTTTGAAACTGGTCGGTGCCTACACCGAAAGTTCCCACGTGAGTTTTAGCCATGTTATAAATAATATAACTTGTGGCTACTTAGTAAAGTTAAAGGATAGAAATAACAAAAATGTTGGATTTATCAAAAAACAATAAAAATACCTCGAACAAAAAAAAAATCAAAGTGATCTTTTGAAATTTATTTTAACCGAATAGACTATCATAAGTTGTTTGTGTATGCGGGTTTCTAAAGTAGTGTAACTGAGTCTAGCCATCTACTAACATGGTCAATATATATATAATAAAATGGAGTGTCTGTCTGTGACATTAAAAGAAAAGTTCCAGATTTAGGAATGATCATGTTTTGCGTTGCGTTGCTGAAAATCGCATTTGATTTTTTTTCTGTTTTTTTTTTAATATGAGGTAGCAAACAAGCAAGCGGCCACCTGAATCCACCAAAATGAAAAGCGACCGCTGCCCATAAACATCCGCAATTGCAGATGCGTTGCCTCTCCTTAATTGACGGAGGAGGAGACGCACATAAAAAGGACATTTTTCCTTCCTATGTGTCTCCTCCACCATCAAATCCACTATTCCTTTCCAGGAATTCTTTGTTCCAGGTATTCTGAAACGGCTTTCAGCGGACGGTAGTTGATATAGACGGGCATATTTTAGGTTACTTTTTTAAATTCCGCGTTGTCAAAATGGCGTAACGGTTGGTCCTTTGCGCTATCGAAGTTTGCGGGCGACAACTCGTATTAAATAAAATTATATAAATAACTTAACAGTTATCATCAAGGAAGATAATATGTATCATGAACATAATTGAAAAATGTCTGTATTTTTGTAAAGATTTCCACAGATAATATAAAAATCAGAGTAAGCCGTTCAAAGAATATGTCGATAGTAATCGTTTAGATGGATATTTAGATCCGATATTATCGCGAACTAACATTATCGTTTTTATATATTTAGTTACGGATTTTATTTATATGATGACTCAAAAGGAACTAAACGAATTATCTATCAGGCGTTTTAATGTATGAAAAATTGTTATATAGTGAGTAAAAAAAAGTATTATATATACCATAACAGTAAATTAGAGACCTAATTCAAGACGACAGACAGAAGTGAAATCTTTTTAATGAACCTGTAATGATATTGTGACAATATTAACAAAAACAAATCAAAAGGAATTGCTGTGACAATTCAGCTAGGCGTTAAATATTTTCTTGTTGCTTGCTATTTATTTTTCGCAGGAAATTGTAATCGTGATAATCACCATTATATTTTTACTAATTAGAGTAACGAAATTTGAAAGCTTAATTTCAAAGATCAATATCATTATTAAACAAATTTTCATTCAATTTATTCCTTTGTTATTTCGATTACTGAGTACTTTATCTGTGATTATTTTTCAATATAATTACATTTCTGAAGTATTGTGCATGTAAATTTCATATCCACAATGTGTAAAAAGGCCGGAACTTTGATAAGAAATATAAAGAGTCCTCGAGATTTAAGTGTAAAGTTACGTAACTTTTTATTAAACACATTTAAGTACGATTCACGAACATACATAAAAAAACTGTCTTCGTAACTCCGTTTTTGTTCCGGATTGTTTTCTAAACGGATTGATTAATTTTAACACTTACTCTAAAGGAATATAGCTTATGTGTTCAGAAGTTTATTATTTAGTTATATTATTAACATTCGTAGAGCCTGCTTCAATATTTTCGCAATAAGTGACCGGCTCGCTCTGAGAAATACCACGACCACATAAACGACAGACATCAAGTGGAATCTATTCCGCGTTTTGTTTGATAAGTAAGCGCAGAGAACTAATTTTAGTCCCTTTTGTTCCCCATTTTTTATAATAATTAGAAGAGAAAATGTCAGTTTGTTAGTGAAGGAGACACATCGGAAAGGAAAATATGCTCTTATTGTCCGTCTTCTCCGTCGACTAAAGATAAGAAACATTTGCAATTGTAGATGTCTGTAGGCAGAGGCTGCTACGCTTTTGCGAAGAATTCAGATGGCCTTTCGCTTATTTGACCTTAAAATATGAAACAGTAACTTTGCTATTTTTAAATTTCTCTAACGAAGTCACGGGCAACAGCTAGTAGATTATGTATCTACGATGTGATAGTATTACAAATTTAATAAATCATTAAATTTCTTTTATTATGGAATTACTAATTGATTATGCAAAGTTTAAGTACACACTTAAAATTAAGTACCATTTTCAAGTACATCTTAGGTATATAATAAAGTACTGACTTCATACATTTCAGTTTTGTACAGTTTGCATAATAAATCTATTGATAGTGCGTTTTTACAATCATTATTTCAAGGGCACTATGAATGGTAAACCTTTTTAGTCTTTTTTAAAAAAGCAAATAAAATCGTTTTAAGCAAATCACATCAATAACTTCAAATTTATTTCCAGGAAAACTCCTTTTCCTGGCTGCCCTTGCATTAGTCCAGGGTAGACCACCAGAAGACGAAGATCCTCAACGCAACGAGAACTGTCCAGAAGACCAGCAGCACTTCTTGCTGCCTCACGAAAGTAACTGCACCAAGTTCTACTACTGCGAATATGGACTGAAATATCCGACGCCAAGAGACTGCGCGCCTGGAACCCATTTCTCTTTTGAACTACAGGTGAATTATATCCAAGTAATTTGACATTTAATTGATCTAAAATGGGCAACGACATCCGTCATTGCCCATCATAGGTCAACGTCTCCCCTATATTTACCTTCTATAGGGTTAAGGTAATAAGCGGTTTAAATCTACTAATCATGGCATTGCCTTTTTAACAACGCCATCATCACATGTTTGATGGTAGACTGGCTATCAACATTAAAAAAAATCGTCTTTGATGATTTATTATTTTTTTTAATTACAGATTTGTGACTTGCCAGAAAAGGCTGGTTGCGTAAATAAGGGAATATCAGGATCAGGAAATGATGAAGATGATGATGAAATTGGCAACAATAATGCAGTTGATATGATAGAGGATGGTGGAAATAGAAGTATTAATGTATCAAATACACAAAACGGAGACGCAGATGAAGCTAATTCGAGAACAGGACGCAGTGGCAGTATGTCCATGTTACCGAATGGTTGTCCCTCCTACCACATTCACTACCTTCTTCCTCATGAGAGCGACTGCACGAAGTTCTACTATTGTGTTTACGGTAAAAAAGTTTTAAGGCAATGCGCACTTGGACTTCATTTTAATCCTTCCACACGGGTAATTTTCACATCTTAGAATAGCAGTAATTTAACACGTTGACTGCGACAAGTAAAATCATAATTCTTCATCTAGTGCGGCAGGCCAAAATGAGCCCCCAATGATATTTCCGCCAGTTCGTGCCAGGTCTTTCTAGACCCACCAGCACTAGGATAGAACAAATTGCTATAGCAATTGTGAAAACATAATGTATGTAATATAATGTAACCTGAGATAATCGTTTCGCACTAGCGAGAGGGACATAGTTTTCTTCGTCCACCAGCTTAAGTACCGCGTCAGGTAGACAATGGCCTGTTACGCAGTGAGCGTGTTAATACCTTTGTAAATCTTATTAGTATTGTGAAGAGAGACCATTCACAAATATGTTTTATTATAGAATTGCGATTGGCCTGAAGACGCTGGGTGTACTGCAAGTGGAGGAGCAAATGGAAATAGCGGTAACAAAGATGACATCAGTAACATTCTAGAAAGCAATAGTAATAGAGAAACAACTTGGCTACCAAATGGTTGCCCATCCAGTATTCACATTCACCATCTTCTTCCTCACGAGAACGATTGCACCAAGTTCTACTATTGCGTACGTGGAGAAAAAGTTATGAGGGAATGTGCACCGGGAACTCACTTTAACCCTACCTTGCAGGTAAATATTACTAATATTATAAATGCAAAAGTTCAGATGGATGGATGAATGTTTGTTAAAGTTTGTATCCTTAAGTGCTAAACGTATCTCGATGAAATTTGGCATAGATGTAGAAGACAATCTAATAGAATAAATAGGTTACTCACTTTTGTTTTTTTAATTCCACGCTGACGGAGTCCCGGGCGAAAACTAGTTTTATTTTAAATTAATGCCTAAATATAGATTTCTATATATCAAAGGTTTGCGACTGGCCTCGAAACGCCGGATGTGCATCTGGAGGTGGCGACAACGGAGGATCAGGAGGTGATAATGGTGGCGGTGGAACAACCTGGCTACCGAATGGTTGTCCAGCCAACATTCATATCCATCACCTTCTTCCACACGAAAGCGACTGTACGAAGTTCTATTACTGTGTACGAGGAGAAAAAGTTGTTAGAGACTGTGGCCCAGGAACTCATTTCAATCCTACATTGCAGGTACTCAATAACATTAAAACTAAGAGCGGGCGCACACCTTTGACAAAACTATCGCACAACGGTTGTGCGATTGTCGATTGTGTCACAGCAATTTCATTGTTTAATTGCGCAACTAAAAATTAGTGTGTGCACCTCCATAGTAGCTTAAAGGGATCAACGAGAGACTAAACAGTTGTGCGATAGTTTTGTTTTAGGTGTGCGCCCTTTCTAAATTATAGCTTACACTCTAATTATCTGTTACATTGGGCTTAAAATTGAAATTTTTTAAATTTACACAACTTCCAACTAATGGAAACCTAAAAACTAAAAGTCGCTGCTTTCCTAACAACAGGTCTGTGACTGGCCCCGAAATGCTGGATGTATTTCGAATGGAGGTAATGGAGGAGAAAACGGTGGATCAGGAGGAGATAATGGAGGATCAGGTGATAATAATGGAGGAGGAACGACATGGCTACCGAATGGTTGTCCAGCCAACATTCATATACACCACCTTCTTCCACACGAGAGCGACTGTACGAAGTTCTATCACTGTGTACGAGGAGAAAAAGTTTTGAGAGAATGCGCCCCGGGAACTCATTTTAACCCCTTCTTGCAGGTTATTATGTTTTTTTTTAAACAGAACGACGATTATAACTCCGAAATCAATGTTATTTTAAATTTTTTCCCTATAAAAAGAGTTTGTAGAATGTTTACCAGCAACTTTAGAGTGCGCACACTTTTGACTAAACTATCGCAAAATCGTTTAGTCTCGCTTTGATTCCTATGAGCTTAAATACACGCACACTACTCGATTTTTAGTTGTGAATGTAAACAGTTGAATTGGCTGCGAAACAATGGATAATCGCAAAACAGTTATGCGATAGTTTAGTTACAGGTGTCTGTCCACTCTTAGTATACTTATTTTGATAAATTCAAGGTCTGTGATTGGCCCCAAAATGCTGGTTGTACTAATGGAGGGAATGGTGGCACCGGAGGTGGCAACGGAGGTGACAACGGAGGTGGCAACGGTAACGGAGGTGGAGATAACGGAGGATCAGGGGGTGGCAATGGCGGAGGATCCTGGTTACCGAATGGTTGTCCAAGCATACACATTCACCACCTTCTTCCTCACGAGAATGATTGTACGAAGTTCTACTACTGTGTTCATGGACAAAAGGTTTTGAGGGAATGCGCTCCAGGAACCCATTTTAATCCATCCTTGCAGGTACTGATGGCTCTTGCACTCAGAGAAGACTTCTTACTTAATAATAGTAATTTGATTGAGTTATAAATAACTTAAAGACATAAATAGAACACGTATAAAGTCATGAAATATTTTTAAAATTGTGAAATTTAATTTTGCTAATTTCAGGTATGTGATTGGCCTCAAAATGCCGGTTGCGCTTCAAATGGAGGAAATGGTGGCAAT